GCTGCCCACTGCCCTCCCAGGGACCTGCCGGCGCAGCGCGGCTGGCGGTGCCCCTGAGCACCCACAGGAAACCTGGGGTGCAGACCTGAGCCTCGTTGGGGTCCCCTCCGCAGGCTCCAGGCCACTTCATGCTCGCACTCATTGGGTCTGCCCTTCTGCTGGGCAGCTCGCTGTGAGGCAGTTCTCACCAAAACCCCAGAGTGTGAGGCGCTGGCAGCGGGCCTGGCCTTCCCGGGACCCTCTCTCCGGTGGCGCTAGAACTAAAGGCACCTCCGGCTCGTCCAGGGGAACAAGCAGCTCCTGTTCTTCAGCAGGAAACGCGTTTTTCTCCTGGGTCCGCGGGAGGAGGCCTCAGGGGAGGTTGAGGGCCCGCAGATCGCCTTGGGGGTAGTCCTTGTGTTGGGCCCAATGTAGTGCCTGAGGCTGTCGGTGTTCATGCAGAGCGGGTTTAACTGACTTTGTGAAAACAAGTCTGCTATCATCTCAGGGCCATGAGGACGTCTGAAGCTCTGCCCCTGCAGACTTTTTCCACTTAATGTGGTTTCACAGTAATTCCCTCCCTGATTTTTAATCATCGTCATATACACAGAAGGCTTCGTTCTGTTCTGCCCAGTATTGATGCCTTTTCCACCATTTGCCTCCTGAATTATGTAGATAAAACAGAGCAGTGTTTTGTCTGACTTTCCCTCATGTATACTCTTGTGTCTGAGTCCAGCGGGGGCATGTTGCCTGCTGCACACGTGGCCTGGGTGGGACGCCTTTGTGCCCAGCCGGCCCGTCGCTGGGCTCCCCTGCGGCTGCTGGGTGAGCTCTGAGAATGAAGACTTTGCTCTTATTTGGCACAAAATGGCCATTCCCTCCGCACAGGCTTCTGGTCACATTTCCCTCTTCACTCACCCTGGGCTGAGTCCATGTGTCCTCTTTGACTGTGTCCCATGTGTCGCTCATATTCTTTCTGGTTTTGTTTTCTTCCCAGTTCTGTGCTTTGGATAACTCCTCTTGACCTGTGTTTCAAGGTAATAAATAGTCCTATGTTTTGTTTTTTCCAATATGCTGTTAAATCTGTCCACTGAGCTCCTAACTTTAAATTTTCTATTGTTCATTTTCAAAATTTTCATTGGATTCCAAATCTATTGGATGTCCATCATGATCTATCTTTTCCCTTTTTTTCTTAAACGTATCAATTGTTTCTCTTTTAAATTTCTTGCACACTTACGCCAGTGCTTTGAACACTTGTGGGTTTTCCTCTAATCTGTTCACTTTTCTTCTTGGTTATCAGGTACCTTGCCCAGGCACCCGGCTCGCTGGGCTGAACGTGAAGTGTGCGTATGAGACACCTATCACTTTCTTCCGCCTCAGAAGGTTGAGATTGTCCAGGCAAGACCAAGGCTGGGGCATGATCACCTTGGTAAGTTAGGATCTACTTTGGGGTAAGTCTGGAGGCTTTGGGGTGAGGTTTGGTTTGTGGCTTTCCCTGGGTTTTGAGTAACTGTTTTTCCTGGAGGACAGGTCCCTCAGGCTCAGCAAGCCCTGGCATTTGGGGTCAGATCATTCCTGGTTGCGTGGGCTGTCCTGGAGGAGAAGGCTCAGCAGGCTCTCTGGCCTGTGTCCACTAAATGGTAGTGTCCCCCGGCCCCCAGTGCGTGTCCCCAAAACACCTCTAGGTCTCCAAGCACCCGCTGGAGTTGGGCAAAACTAGCCCTGGCTGAGAATCACTGCTCACTGCTTCTTCTCTACGTTGTTCAGAAGGTTCTAACTAGGGCGATGCAGTAGTTGGCGAGACAAGAGGGAAAGGTGTCTAGTTTGGAAAGCGCTAAGTATAGACTCTGAGAGGCCCTGGGAGCAAAGGCCCTCACACCAGGAAGACGCCGGGTGCCCAGGCCTTGGTCTGCACAGGTTCTCCCCGTGACAGGCACCAGCGCTCCTGCAGAGATGGCTGGCTCGTTGTTGGGGAACAGAAAGAGCAAGATGAGGCGGGACCATCTTATGGGCCAGAAAGAAAGGAAGAGCTGAAAAAACAAAGGAGAGAGATGTCAGAGGGACAACCCTGAGGAGAAGTTGCTAATGGCCACATCTGAGGTAGGAATGGACTAAATCACAGAATAAAATAAATACCCATGAATATATGTTGACACAGGAGTGACTGTGTCATAAATAACTGCAGAGAAAGGGAGATGCTTCTTTATAGTGGAATATAATTAGTAAATGTACGAAAGTGATGAAGAAGAAAGTGTCCCCATGGGGAACAACGTGTTAGGCCTGCTGGCCTTGACGTGGCCTGGCCACAGGGCCCCTGCACACACACCAGCTCCTCCTCCTTCCCCGCTTCGCATCCACCCTGCCAGCCTCTCCATCCCTGTCTTCATCTACCTGAAGGTCCCTCATTCTTCTTCCGGGCCTAGTGTGGGTGTGAGTCCTCTGAAAGTCTACCCCTGTTTCCCAAGGCCTTTAGTTCTGCACAGACGCTCTCCTGTGTGACAGCCATTATGTTAGCACATTTCTCTTATGTTAGTTTAAATGCTCATCTTACCCATTAGAGACCACAAATCCTCTCAAGGATGGAATTCTGGTTAAGGCCATGAATGTGCTTAGAAACAAGTTCAGTGCCTGAAACAGACTTAAAATTGCCAACAGCAGACATAGTCGGCATTTACAATTGCTCAATAAGCATGCTTACGGATGAGTTGATTCACTGGAGCAGTATTGACCAGAATCTAATCGCATTGCTTTTGGAGACTATAGAAGGGAAGAGAGAGACACAGAGTAGGAGGTGACAAATAATTTAACAATACTCTTGGGATGCAGTCTGGTTTCCGTGTGTGTGTGCGTGCATGCGTGTGTGTGTGCGTGTGTGTGTGTGGTGTGTGTGTCTTGGGATGCAGTCTGGTTTCCGTGTGTGTGTGCGTGCATGCGTGTGTGTGTGCGTGTGTGTGTGTGTGTGTGTGTGTGTGTGTGAGAGAGAGAGAGAGAGAGGAAGAACAGGGATGCTCACATTTTCAAGTCTCCTTAGGCTGACGTCAGACATGACTGTTCATGAGCATTTGAGTCCAGGCTGCCCTGCTGATGTGGGGATGGTTCTCAGGCGCCCTGATCAGCATGATCTACCTGAATTTCAAACTCTTTGCAACTGAGAGTCCAAATCTAGATGTCATTAATTGGGCAAAAAATTTGAATTGCATTTTATTGTAGAGAAGAAATAAGAACTGTCACTCTTTACACCTGTTTTAAACTCCTCTTTCTGATGGTCTCCATGAAGCCATTCAGCTTTATTTCCTCAGGATTGTAACCTTGGTGGCACGGGACACTCGGGCTATCTCTGCCCTTCCCAAGCCCCCGAAATAACAACATCTGACCGTGGTTTGTGACACTCATGGTGGTGTAATCACAGGGTGACCTAATGAAGGGTTATTCTGTTTGGGATATAGTACTGGGAGGAAATTCATATGTGTAATACTCAACTATGCATCATGGGGACGGAATAATTTAATAAATCACTGTCATCCAAATGCCTTTGGACGTGCGTGCGTAGAAAGACAGGAGGTGGAGACCCTGAGGTCTGCGGATGCTGCCAGAGGCTGCTGTCCTTATTTTGATGATTTCCCTTCATTGAATGTGTTTTTATTTAGCTGAAGAGTGTCAGTGCTTTTGGATTCATTATATTATTTTTAAAATGTGAATAGGTCTTAATAACTACTGTTGGGACGCACTACACATCTTTAATTCAGTAAGAAAAATAGCTAATGGAAGAACTTGAGACTTAGTTTCCATTGATGATAGAACGTGTGAAGGTTTTTACAGCTGTGGCTGGAGGACAGATAATTAGCTCCACGTGGACCCAGACAAGACCGAGATCAGAAAGGAACCTCTGAAAAAAGTGACACACAAAATTAATTCAAAACCTACATGTCCTCACGAGGGAGAAATTGAACACAATTGGATGCAGGCAGCTAGCTGAGCTCATCAATCAGCAGACAGGATTCCTTCTTTGGGATGAAGAGAACATGAAACATGGGGGAGGGTGAAGGAATGCGAGTGCAGGCTCACTGACGAGGGATGCTGGAGCTGCCAGTGATTACCGACCTGTACAACCCTTTATAACTGCTGCAAAACCAAATATCTGTGAGGTTGACATTATCTGAGATTCTATGACATGAGTTCAACTTTTCAATTATACATCAGACACACATGTCATAAGAAAGTAATCAGGACAATAGATTAAAAGAAGTGCCCCCAAAAGAAACTAAAGTGTGACTGTTATCATCATAATTAGCTAGTTTATAATATTAATAAAGAAAGAGAGCAGAGGGGAAGCCAGGCGTATACATGGTCACCTGGGCAGCATCACCAGGAAGTTACAGCTTCCTGCCCCCCAGAACCAACCACCTGTCCACTCCATGCGGACCCTGGGGGATGGGGAGATGGGCGCCTGCGCAGTGAAGTCCGGGTGATGTGTGGAAAGTGCTTGCCTGCAGTCTAGCCAGGGAAACAATGGGGTGGCTAGGAGGTGGCACCACTGAGAGCTCACCAAGTCCTGGAAGGGCAAAGTCCCGCTGGTTTGCCATGAGCTCCTGTGATCCCTCTCCACAGCCGGTGCCCGTCAGCCACCACCTGGCCCAGGCCCTGCGGGCCCAGGCGCTGGGCTGCAGCTGGGGCACGGCCAGCTGGCAGATGCCGGACTGGGCTTTCACACGGAGCGGAAGCTCTGGGCAGCCGCCTTGCTTCTCGCCTGCTGAAGGCAAGCTGGACTCTTCCATGGCAGGGTGGACGGAGCTGGGACCTAGAGGGGAACCCCTAATTTTACATCATCAATAAAGTTTTCCACGAAACCTCATTCTCCCAGGCGGCCCTCAGGAATTATTTTCCCCGTGGCACCCCAGGAACCCCACTTCCACCCATAACACGACACAAGCAATCTGAAAACTAAGAAGTTGCCTATACATGCGGAGCTTTACTAAGCACAAAAGTGCTGTTTTAGAAAGGTAATTTTCTATCATTACTCGGTTCTGAAAGCATAGTCTTGTGAGAATTCTAAAGCTGATTATACATAATTTAAATATGATTTCTAGTTTTCTGGATTATGAAGTCCATGTATGCCATAGCAGAAAATGAGTTTTGTTGTGGAGTGATATTTAATTCACACACTGCTTAGCATTGACTTTGTGTATGGCTTGTGTGGACAAGCAGTTGTACTGAGGTCAGATAATATTATTTATGAAGAAAGGATTCAAATAATAAAGATATTTCATTTGGGTTATGGTGACATGCTGGGAGAAGATTTAGTTTATTTAATGAATGTAATACATCAAAGTTATACAACAAAGTTGTCCCTTATTATTAGGGCACATTTAGTCACTGTATATAAGAAATGTTATTTCACAGCCTAACATGATTAGGTAAAATAGAAAACACCTTTAAAAAGGTAAGTTTTGCTTAACACAAGTTGTAAAAAGTTCTAAATGTTTAAGTTACCAAAAATGAGCCCCATATTTGCATTTCACCAATGCCTAATTAGCAAGACGTTTAGCAAAGCAGGGATTCTCTCTATAATTAGGCATAAAATATGCTTCTCTTCAAAGTTAAATTCAGTACCACGTTGTAAATACCCAATGCTGAAACGCAGATGTACTGGGAGGTGAACCCTTAACTTTACCATCAGAATGCAGGTCAGCTCTGCTCCCACCTGTAACACTGCAGGGTCTGTTCTGACGGGGAAGTCGAAGGGGGTCCTTGTTGACCCTGCTGGGGTGGGGCCAGCACCTGTCCCTTTCCTTTCTGAAAATAAAAGGGCCATTCTGAGAGCAGAAAGCTTTTGTTGATCATGATACACTTCAAATTGGTTAATTACTAAGTGTGATTATTGAGACAAAATTGAATCATTTCTTGTGTTTCTATCAATATAATTGAGTTCAAATAATTGAAAATTTGCACATCTATGAGAGGTTCACACATCCTTTCCCAGAAAATATGGAGCAAGGCAGACATGCACATCCAACTTCAAGACTTACTGGAAGTCTACCATGCCCGTCGGTGTGGTATTGGTGCAAGAGTAGACAGCCCAGGAATAGAACCACTCGAGTATAGTCAAAATATATAGATTTTTGACAGAGCAAAAGTATAGTAAAAAGATAGTCTTTCCAAGAAATTGTGTGGACAAATAAATGTCCATACAGGCAGTCTTCGGGTTACGTCGGTCGTTTCGTGGTTGCGCCGCCATCTCCCATTTATTTATATTTAAAAAAAAGTTCCGTCATTTTGACGTATGTACATATGTGCTTTATGTTTTTTATTATTTATTTACCACAAGTAAAGGTCATGAATTGTTATCTTTCTTTTAATTTTTTTTTTACTGTTTCACTTCATTACTGCTGTGTATGTGCCCCATGTGAGTGACATAGGTGCTTATGTAGGTGGGTTCTGACTTACAGTGAAAATCGAGTTCCAACATAACCCAAGGACCTACTGTATACAAAAATGTCCCTAGTAGAAATTGTACCTTACATAAGCAAGTCAGGATAGATCATAGACCTACATGCTAAAGATAAAACTATAAACCTAGGAGAAAGTCTACGAGAAAATGTAGGTAGTCTTGCACTTGGCATTGACTTTTTAGACATAATACCCAAGTAAAACTCATGAAGGAAAAAAAATTAGGTTTTATTAAAATTTAAATTTCTGTCCATAAAAGACACTGTAAGAAAATGAAAGACAAACCACAGACTGGGGGAAAAATGCAAAACATATATGTGACATGGATTCAACACATTCAAAGAATTGTTAAAACTCCACTGTGAGCAAACAAACAGCCTGACTAGAAAATGGGCAAAAGATGGAAGAGAAACCTTACCCACAAGCTATGCAGGTGGCCAAGAGCATGGGACAATCTAGCATCTCAGTCATCAAGGAGTTACAGGTATAAGCAGACATGATCCCTCCACACACCTGTTAGAATGGCTGCACTCAGACTCAACTGCCCAGGAGTGCCCGTGAGGCTGGGGCCCAGGACCCTCATGGGCAGACTCACCCTGGTCACTGCTTTGGGAGGCAGCCTGGCCATTTCTCATAAAGAAGATACAGTTTTACCCCACAGCTCAGACAGTTACATACCTGAGAGGACAGCTTATGTCCAAAAACCACGCCTGAATGTTTTTAGTAGCTTTATCCTTAATCACTCAACCCTGGAAGCAGCAGGATGCACCAGGACAGTGTAGATCAAGCATGTCAAACTTGAGGCTGCATGCAGCCCACAACGAATATTTTTTGCGGCCCAGCCAAACAGTATGTAAGAAACATTTTAATAAAAATTTCCTAACTTAATTTTTACAATATCCTGTTATACATAATCTATATATATAAAAGTCTAAGCGACCGTTATGACCGAATGACCGGAACGACAGGAACAACCAGTCAACCAGTCGACCAGTCGCTATGATGTGCATTGACCACCAGGGGGCAGACGCTCAATACAGGCGCTGCTCCCTGGTGGTCAGTGGCTCCCACAGCCAACCTCCCCATGCATTGGGCCTCTAGTTATTAATAATGAACTACAACGTTCACTAATGACTGATTACTATAATCATGTTGCATTCATTTCCCTTATGTGCCTTACACGCAGGTGCACTATTTCTCTCCACTAATACTAGCAGCGAATATTTTAGCAGCTGATGGCCGCATGATTAGTCTTGGATTGACTTGTTTGGTGTGTGCAACAGGAAGTATTCTGCTTTCGGAGAACAAGAAAAATAGGTTTATTTGCTTTATACTTATTAATTTGTGCAGTTATTCAGTGTCTGGTAAGTTAATGTTCAAGAAAAAATATTAATTTTTATTAAAATATTCTATTATTTTATGTTAACGATGACTCATTTATTTCAGCCCTTTGCATTCATCATGTCTCTATTGGAATAAACCTACGTTTCTATGAAAATTGAGCTTTTGTTTGTTTGTGGCCACATACACCTACACCTTGTTCATTTGGCCAGTGGTAGCCTTGGAGTGTGACTTGCTGAGTGTAGATGAACCCCAGTGCCCCTGGCAGGCCCTGGTTTCCAGGGAGGGGAGAGTCGGGCTCTGGCTTCGGGTGGAGCAGGACGCAGAGGCTGAGTGAGCGAGGGTTCAGCACGAGGATCTGTGTTTATCTGCCCAGGAGCCAGGCTGTGCTGACCACGTGCTGCAGCTGTAGCCACAGAGGCTAAAACGTCCTTGTTTGTCCTCATTTTTGTTTCCTGTGGTTTTTGTCTGAGTCTTGCATTTTCTTTTAGCTTTAGTCCCCTGTTACCACACAGGAGCCTGGGGAGATGGTGGCGAGGGTCTGGGGTGGGGGATGTTCTATCTCCTACATGTCTGGTAATCCCAGGCCCTGACCTTAACCATACCAGCTTCCCCTTCGGTGGGACAGGGAGGCCCCAGGGGCCGGGGCAGGGTGGGTAGGCTGGGAAGTCCAAGGTCTCTCAGGCTCCCCTCACCCTTGGGGGCAGGCTTCATTGCCAGAGAACACTGGGCTGTATTTAAATAACCCCCCCTCCCCCCTACTTCCTGCTTCCTGCTTCCTGCAGGAAGTAGGAGGGGTTATCCCACCCTCACCCTCAGCACCAGGTGGGGCTCCTGGAATCTGGAATTAAAACTTCTGAACATGGAGACTCCTCCCTCCAGCGGACACCTAGGAGTTTTTTTTATTTTCCTTTTTTTTTTTTTTTTTTTTTTGGCGAGGGACTCCAAATGTTCATATGTTCAGAATTTTTAGCCATTTTTTTTTAACATTCCTCACTTCTTTCCAGAATCCTTTTTAATGTCTTTCTTCATTATTTATTCTGTATTTTCCAGGTTCTCCTCCCCCTGGCACTCTATTTGCTCAGCCATCTTCCTGCAGCACCCCTCCTCTCCGGGGAGGCCTCACTTCTGTGCTGATGGGGCTTGGGTGCATGCCGGGGGGAGATGGACGACGGGAACAAGCCACGGCTGGACTTGCAGATAACAGATTACAAAGTGTAGTTGGTGCATCTGCTAAGATATAATAATAGTAATATTTAGGCTAGAAATAATTTGTGTAGCAAGTAATTCATTTGGTATTCACCATGACCATATGACACAGTTGACATTATTATCCCTATTTTACCAATGAGGTAACAGGCAGAAAAACAGCTGAGAGATAGATCAAGGTCATATCTCTGGGAAGTGGTAGAGAGACAGAATATGTAAATATTGTAAAAAAAAATGCTTTAAAATGCTCACATCTGCTGACAAAGAAACTGAGCCCTGGCTGGTGTCTCAGTGGTTAGAGTGTGGTCCCATGCACTGAAGGGTCTTGGGTTGGGTTCCTGGTCAAGGGCAGGTACCTGGGTTGTGGGTTCGCTTCCCACCCCCTAAGTCGGGCATGTGCTGGAGGCAACCAGTGGATGTGTCTCTACAGTGGGGCCTTGACTTACGAGTGTCCTGACTAATGAGTTTTTCGAGATACGAGCCATCTCTCGGCCGATTTTTGCTTTGAGTTACGAGCTAAAATTCGGGTTACGAGCCAGCTTCAGATACCCCACCGCTAGTTGGCGCAGCGAACATCACAGTGAAGTCCACAACATCAGCCCAGCATCACGTGTCTCACTCGTTCACAATTGATTTGACATACTAGTAATTTGAGTTACGAGCTCCGTCACGGAATGAATTAAACTCGTAAGTCAAGGCCCCACTGTATTTCCCTCCCTCCCTCCCTCCCTCCCTCTCTAAAAAGCAATGGAAAAAATACCTTCTGGCGAGGATTAACAAACAAACAAAACAAATCCGAGACACAGAATAGGCTGTCAGAATGGATGGAGAATATCAGACCTCCGGCGAACCTCTTTTCGTGGCTGTTAGGGGGTTCTTAAGCTTAATCATCATTCTTAAATCCATTCTTTATGAATTCCCTGCTTTTATGCCAATGTTGCATGTTATTCAATAAACAAAACTGATATCAAACTGGCCTTTGAAATAGCAATGTCCTTTATAGAAAATTTAGGAAACTGCAGGAAGCTGCAGTAAGGAAATTTAAAAACTGTGCAGCCTCATGGTGTCATTTGTTGAATTACAGTGTTTTCTTCTCATGTATACTTTTAATTTCTTTTTAATGCATATCTAACTACTAACTTCTCAAACATAGATGAATGCGTATATTTCTAATGGTCTAAGTTACTATTGAAAAGTGGCCTTTGTGTCTTTGCCGTGAGCATTAAAAGCAGTCAGATGTGGGATTCTGGGGCTGAGAGAAGGACCGACATGGATTTGAACTTACTGGCCTGTGGTCGGCGTAGTAGGTGGGGGTTTCTCAGGGGTGGCATGAGGCAGGAAAGAAGGCAGAAAAAGAATCCTGGGCCAGGGTGGGGGGACTAGCTAATCGAGGGGTGTTCTCATCACCACTGAGATGAAGGGCCTGGAACTGGGAGGAAACCAGGCTGAAGAGCGGCAGAGACCCCCTGATGTGGGACCATGGGCATAGGCTGCACTGGGCAATGGGCCTCCTCCCAATCTTACCAGGAAGGTCTCAGGGGCGCAGGACTGAGGGGTTGGATGACGGGAGAAACTAGGGAAATGACAACATGGAGGAGCCACAGACCCGATGTGAACACAGAGCAGGACCTAGTGCACAGGATGGCGCTCACGGTGGATGCCAGACATCGCTCCAGCAACCGTACTTTCGGCCAGTCTGTGCCCCACTCCAGGGGCTCTGTAGACACAGCCACCGTCTCAACCGAACAAACAGAAGTCAAAAGACGGTGAAGAAAGAATGGCTGTGTAAACAGCTTTTTTTCTTCCATATACACCCACGACATACTCACCTTTCGCTAATACATTCAAAGTCATTTATTATTGGAATGAATGTCTGATAGATAAATGATACTCATTTAGGGTCATAACTAGTGGAACACACACTTGTTTCTTTACTTTTAACGGAACCTGCTTTCAGTGGAGGGAAGCATGCTGCATCCATGAGAGCTGCTCCTCAGTTCTGTGCTCAGCTTCTGGCAACCACAGGAGCTGCTGAGGCCTGGGATTGCAGGGCTGTGTGAGGACCAATCCGCAGATCACCCCAGGCTATTAGGCCCTTGGCAACTTGCCGATTGGCAGGTATTAAGTGCTTTGTGAACATTTCCAAATTAATCACTTATCAGGCCCTGTATTTTTCAAGTCAGGTCAATCCTGTCACATATTTTGTTGTGAGAAAAGCCCTGCGCAGGCTCCTGAGTGGCGGCGATTTGGGCGCTGGGGTGGGCAGGCTGAGAAGGGCCTGCTGAGAGCTAAGAGGGTGCTTGACCCACCTGTGGTGCAGTTTGGGCAATTCCGAAGCATTTGTGGAATTTTATTTCTTAATCAGCTTAGCACACTATGAGTCAGAGATGATCTGTCTTTATAAAAACCATAAACTTCATGCTGGAAACAGTTTGTGAGGGGCCAAAATCACCAGCAGTGGTCTGTGCTGTAGAAACAGACTTTAGAGAGTTGAGGAAGGAGAATTCCTGGGGTGACTTTTGCAAAAACAATGCCAGGGCCGTGAAGATAGTTTATTTAAAAATACCATCACCACTAAATAAAAATGTCATCATGTCTCTTTAAGGCATAATTTTCTTTTAGTATATCTGTGTCAATCCATTTTTATTTAGCACATAATTTTTACTGACTACATTAACTTCCATTGTATCGATGCCTTGATTTATTTATTTATATCTCATTTGAAGTTCAGATTGCTCCCATTGCTTTACTATTATAAATATTACTTTGATACACATCCATTTTATATAAGTTTACAATATTACATTAAGATAATTTTCTTAGACTGGAATTATAGGGTTTAAAAGAATGCAGGATTTTTATGGTTTTTGTAGTGTGCCTTCTCAGTGCATCCCAGAACCCTTGCACCATTTTAACTCTCACCAGCAGTGACTAATGTTTAAGGTAGGCCTGGATCTTCAACTAAAAAGGGAGTGTGGTTAGAATTTTAAGAATACATGATCTATGACATTTCATAGTAAGGTTATTTCAGTAAAAAAAACAAACCCTGATAAATGTAGAGGGACCTTTTAAGAAGAAATATCAATACGCTTTATAGTATTTGAGTAAAATCCATTTTCATTAGCTGTGCTTTGTTACCTGCAATACAGAACAAAGAAAACATTTTTAAATGGATATCAACATGGTTCTTAATCGAGAAATATACATAGTTGGAAAAAGCACTCTGGTATCTATATGGCAAAAAAACATGCCATTTCAAAAGCAATTCCTTCCTATCATTTGAGTACCTCTCTCATTTAAAGATAGCTCTGGGTGTGAAAACACTCCTAAGCTTGGAGTTGTGCCTTTCAGAATTCCAGTTGGTGGCTACATTGCTGGGGTAGGAACCCTTGAGCTCTCTGGTGACTAATTAGACAAGGACTAAGGACATTCCTGAAGGGAACACAGGATTCATGTAGGTTTTGACCTAAATACGTGGGAGCCATCCAGAGGGGCTATCTTTAGACTTGCAATTCCTAGATATGCTGTGAATGTGAGAGTACCGTCAGAACATGCCTGATGTGATCAGAGATGGGCTAGAACACCAGATGCCCTCACGAGACGCCAGAAGGCAGGTGATCAATGTAACACTTCTCTAAGCTAAAGCAAAGTTCCCAAGCAAACTAGGAAAAAGGCACTAGTGAAATTGAAATATTTATTTCAAAACAATAGCTAGTGCGGGGTACCAGAATATGACACCCCAAAGTTTACCTCTGTGGTTTATGGATTATTTTGAGCAAAAGGCCATGAGAACCAGCAGGAAAGGGTCTAAAAAGGAACCCAGTTTCCCTTTTGTAAAGGAAACTTATTAAATCTTTACATCAGCACAGGTGTCCCCCCCTCCAGGACGAGGATGAGGCCCTGGGCCACTCTTAAGTGGGGAGGCCACAGGCTTAAATCTATGACAAACCTTCCGGAACGACCCATGCTAATCCCACCTTTCCAGGTCTCAGTGAGAGGGCCGGGGGGCACGTGGCACGGACGGTCAGTTCCGCGCCTGT